GTTGAAGTTTATCCCTGGACCCGAGTATGGTAAGTCGGGTCAGCTTGAGTGCCGACATCCTGCCGACTCTCGCTCAACCTGCTTGAGCCAGACCTCCCATGTCCCTCCCGGGTTGTCCGCAATGCCACTAGATGAGAATACGTACTGACTTCAAATTTTTTTCGCCTTGATCTAGTGTGGTGTTGGGGTTGGGACGGTGCAGGTGACCTCGACGGTCCTGATGTCGACCCCATTTGGGAGCACATGCAACCTCGATCGTACTCTGAGGAGGCTATCCAGGTGAAACACTTTAGAAACATGCAAGGGTGGTAAAGTGGTGAGTGTCCATTCGCATGTCGTGACTTGCTTGGAGATGGAAAAAGTCGTATCACTGACCATTTGTGACCTGGGTCCGGTAGGTTATCAGGAGAATGACAGATACAGATACGACGACAGAAGTAACATAGACAGAGGACCAGACCGACGAATGTTTCCTTGGACAATTGGTCAAGCAAGAATTGGTCTGCTTCAGTGCAGCCTGAAAGTCACAGCCTGTTCTCAATATGGTTTAGACGGGGTAGTTTGGTCTTGATTTTACGAGTATATATGCATTGCTATTGGTTTGACTAGGCTGCCAGTCTCATCGTTCTTGATCTCGCACCGCCGCCTCTGTTCCTATCTGCCTCGCGGCCAAAACTTCCAGCGAGTACTGCCAGGCAGACACACAGCAGATCCCCCCTTCTATCCTGAGCCTCTTTGCGATTCACGTCAGCGCTTTCGGTCATCGCACGGGCTACACCTTTTGTTTTCGGCTGATATGTTATGGGAGAGAAGCCGTATGAGGTATGCATCGTACAGTGCGCTTGATTGTGAGCCCAGAAGCAACGATTCACTACGTTTAAGCTGAAGCTGAAGCCTGCTGCTCGGCCAGTACACTAGGCTCTGCTTCTACCGCGACTCGCTCCTTGGGCCAACCCCAGAACCTCCTCTCCCGTCCCAATCTCCTCTCATCTCTAGGCAATTTGTCTTCCCTGCTTGCTACTACTCCAACAAACTGATCGAGCTGTCTAGGCTTTTTCACGGGTGCGAGATTTTGAGGACCCGGTTGATCGGGTCGAGAGAGATGGGGATACGGCAAGTGGGCTTGGTAGAACTTGACATAACCGGGTTGCGTGGCGTAGAGGGTGAAGTCTTTACCTTGCGCTACGTGTTGTCCCGGTCTGAAGGTTTGTCCTCTTTGTCGGATTATTATACTTCCAGGGGTTACATATTGATCTGAAGAGGTAGAAGCCATGGTCAGTTCATGATTGTCCAATCCGCCAGGGCTTGATGGAGAGGGGGACGACAGAACGCAGATGAAGTCGTGATATAAATGAAATCTTAGTGTTCAGAAGTCCCAAGTGGGCACTCACCACCATACCGCTTGACACCCAACCTCTTACCAGACGAGTCTCGTCCGTTTCTAGATTTACCACCGGCGGCTTTCGAGGCAAATCGGACTTGGGTCGCTAGAGCTACAGGGAAGGTTCGGGATGGGATTACATAGTCAGTCCTAGCCAGATACACGTCTCGATCACGAATGAGTACTTGCTGGGCATCCAGTCGGGGTTCACAACTGAGCAACCGAATAAGGTCGACCCTCGAGTACTACTCACTTGAGGGGCCAGCGAAGAGCTGCTGTCTGAGCTCCGAAGCTGAAGAGAGGTACGTTCGCGTAAGGCCGAGCATCGTGTCCGTTGTGCTCTATCGATGAGGATGTGTAGAAGAAGGCGACGAGTGACGTCTTGGGCGTAGACGTAAGAATTTGAGGAAGAAAGTCTGGTGATTGGGCTCTTTGACTAAATAGGATCGCGCGAAAGAGCAGCCAAAAGCAAGCAAATAGATAACCTCAGCCAAGATCCAGAAATCACAGCAGAGGATGAATTCAACTATTTCACACTTGTTCATAAACGGGTGGCTCTAATAACGAACATCGCACATCTTGCCCTTATACCTCCACTTTTCGAAGTCCGCTAGCTCATTGCTCCATCTCGCTGATAAACGCTATAAATATCGCTAGTCGCCATCATCGTGTTGGAAATTCCCCTTGAATGGTTTTCGTAGATAACGATAGGAATACTCAGAATCGATCACTCGGCTACCATGGACGAGCAGGAGCTACTCAACCTGGACGCCGAGCTCCGAGCGATCAGGCTTGACGAAGGGCCTCGGCTGATCCCCCTTAGGCTGGACAAGATGTTCCTCCGCGCGAGACAATGGCACGCTGCGAATCCTTCAGCACATGTACCTGAGCCCATCGAGCGTCCACCTACCCCTCCTAGACAGGCTAAAGTGTATCCTCTACCTAAGCCTTTGTCACATAATAAGGGCAAGGGGAGAGTGATGCTAGATGACGCCGTCTCACCCTTGTCCAGGTTATTTCAGTACCCGGAACTGGTGCCGTCCGTCTTGGAACACTTCGATCAGCCTAAAGATCTGGCCAAGATATGTCGGGTAAGCAAGGAGTGGTGCAGAATAGGACGAAGAAGGCTGTATGCACATGTCTGGATCAGACCATGTAAGTGAAGTGAACGGGTGCTTGGTGAATTCGGTGCTAGCTAACGGCATGGCAGGGGAGGACGGATGTCATTTCAAGGTGGGCAGCATGGTACTCGTCAGACTAGAGCAGCAGCTGAAGTGTATTCATAGCTGGTCCTACTTTTCGACACCCTACATAGACATCCGGAGCTGTGCCGTCTGATCAAGCGTTTGGGTGAGTTCATCTACGATATCCCCACGCCTGTCTATATGGACCTCTTCTGACAAGTCCTAGACGTACGGTTCTTCCCGCTCGCTGCTCGAGGTGAAGAGCGTTCCGATCTGGATGATCACGTCAAGAAAGCTGTGGAAGATATGCAACAGCTTCAATCGCTAGTATGGACGGTAGGCGACTTCCCTTGCTTTGGAAACCATCGTCCAGCCCCACGTCCTACGCTGACGATGGTTTCCCTGGTCTAATTCAGCGCGATCGATCGTTGAACCCCGCCTTGGTCGAAACGATAGCCGATCTAGATCACCTCAAATCGCTGGAGATATCAGGACACTCGTATAGATACTACGACCCAAGTCTTATAGGCACTATGCCTGCTTTGGAAGATTTACGGATCATGATGCCCGATCCGAACTTGAAGTCGAAGCTCGTTGATGTTGTTCAAGCGCTAGGCAAGCGCCCAGGAGGAGGGCTGAGGGGCCTCGGGATAATCTGTCAGGTTAGTTTGAATGGTGTGAAAGGCTTCTGTTTTCGGCTAACCGGATATGGTTGCAGAATTCGTCATTGATCGATGATGCCATTCTTAAGACTATCGCCCCAGATCTTGCCAATTTGAAACGCTTGACTCTGTGGGGATGTACCAGAGTAACCAGGGATGGTGTGTTCGGTATATTGACTGAAGCCGCCGATGAGGTGGGAGAGCTTTCGTTGGATGCGCTCCCACATTCAGTGAGTATGGTGCAGACTACTGTTGCGAAATCTGTGACTTACTATCTCATTTTAGGGCCTGCTGGATCTTGCATCATCCCCCTATCTGCCGAGGCTACATACACTATCGCTTTCGATGACCATTCCTCATCGGGATACGTCTGACCCAACTATCAACCCAGAAGATCTACCAGCATTCCCTTCATTCCCCTCCCTTACGTCACTACATTTGACTCTTTCGGCCGCCCACCTGTTCTTGCCTCTTGATTCTTACCAACATCTACAAGATCAACTGCCGGCATCGTTGACCAAGCTATCACTCATCAACCTCGTGATCGCATCTGAGACCGTGGCCCAGATCCTGACAACCAATCTACATTTGGAAGAGCTGTACATCTCGGTGAACCACAGGAAAACGGTCCTGGACTGTAATGCACTGGTCGAAAAGGGGCAGAGACTAAAAATTCTCCATGTAAATGCTCCGGAGAAGTGGGGACCGAACAGCGATGATCTGCTGGTACTTGCGGACAAACTGAAGGGATTGGAACAGATAGGTTTTGGCAATAGGGTGTACGAGGTTCATAGGTATCTGGAAGAAACCCCTAAGGCGCTTTTCGCAAATGCACGTGAAGATGGACAAGGTGTACAAGAACATGGCGATCCATACAGCACGGATGGTGAGCTGTGTAGCCGAACGGAGTTGTGCAGGTGGACCAAGCCTTTTATTCCTGGTTATTTCCAAGTGTGGCGGGCGTAGAGTATTGGGATTATACGGGAGATGTTTTATGCCTTCTGATTCGTTGTATGACATGCATTATCTATACATTCGCGATCTTCTGACCAGCCTCACCCTCCGGACGCACCACAGCCTCACGGCTTTTAACCGATCCTTTGCCATTCCTCGCATCCATGCCACGAGCCCGGCCCTCCCGCCCTTCCGCCCTTCCGCCCGCATCCGTCCTTTTCAACATCGCCCATGCCGACGTCCGGAGATACTAACCATATTCAGAACGCACTCTTGAGCGGCTGTTGGACCTCGCCCTCCTCAGGCCTCTCCTTACGCTTCCGCTATTTTTGGGCCTCAATATAGCGCACTATATGGTTGACATTGTTAGTTGGAGTTTCGTGCTTCTCTTTTGCAAAGAGGCTGTAACAAGGCTGCAGCAAGATTCCTTTGTTGTAGTCATTCCTCGTTACAGACCGTTCACGGTCTTCAGCTTCTGAAGGACATGGTGTAGCAACAGTCATAGCTATAGCATTGCCGGCAGTGACCCCGAATCATGGTGAGCTTTGTTATGACAGGCAGGTTTGATAGGCGTGGCATGGCAAAGCGGATTGAAGGTCGCTGCGTCACGACATTATCTAGTCTTGTTGTCGATAGGTCGCATCTCGCTGGGATGAAACGCGGACTGGGATTGGATCATTGAGGTGAGCGCTTCCTTACCCAGTAGAGGTATCCTTTGAGGTTGAAGATCGATCAATTGAAGAATCTCGTTTGAATTGCATGCGCCTTAGGTGATATGTCTCGCATTATATACAATCGATTTCGCTTGACAAGCCTGTAGGGGGTGTAGCGCAGTTGGTAGCGCGTCTCATTTGCAATGGCGTATCAAGCGGCTCAGTGCCCTTGAGAAGGTCCAGGGTTCAATTCCCTGCGTCTCCAAGTTTTTGTTTTTGTTTCCGTCCCCATCTCGATGTCATCCTGGTTGGTATCACATCGTCATCATCGTTGCCTCTTACTGACTCTCCTCTTCATCATGCATGCAACCCTGTCGAGGGAAGTGAGGGCATGTGGGAGTACACGATGGCGCTCCGCGTGGAAAAGAGATATCGCTGCCAAAACGGACAAGTGCGACAAGATCATGACTCAACCTCTCGCAAACGGAGAAGTCCGTCCTGACGAGTACATGCCGGTTTCGAGTAGCCGGAAGTGACCATACCAACCATGCTGTATCCGCGCTTATCCGAGATTATGAACCGGACGGATCATGCACATGTCCTCATGACTTACTGAACAGAAGGGTTTGACCACGATGTAGATCTCTTGCGGACCGTATTCCCTTGTCGATGTATCCTGCACATATATAAAGAGTTCAGTCGCGAACAGAAAGGTAGTCGGCCTTCATCCTTTCATTAACAAACCCGACCTTCGCCCACTATGATCACGTTTTCTCGCACAGCCAACCACCTCGTCCGCTCTCAGATCGTCCTCACAGCGGCGGTAGGCAGCCGAAGATTGCTGTCATCACGAGCGGCTAGTGTTCTCTCAGCTCTCAGTCTGCCCACCAATGGTGAAGAGATTCCTGGTGTATTCGATGGGCAATGGAAAGGCTCCGGAGAAGAGATTCTGTCGAAGTGCCCTGCTACCGGGGAGATATTAGGCCATGTAAGAAGCGTGAGTGCAGATAGCCGTCTCGAGCTCCCGAAGCCGGGTCTGAATAGACGTTTTTGGTCTGACCTGACCGGTGCTACACAATAAAGGCATCTGCTTCCGAGACTCAAGCGGCGATTCGAGCATCTCTTGAGGCGTCCAAGCTGGTCCGCAAGATGCCGGCACCGAAACGGGGTGAAATCATCAGACAAATTAGGGAGGCTTTGATGACCAAGGTAGACGCGCTGGGTGACCTTGTCAGCCTCGAGATGGGAAAGATCAAGTCCGAGGGTCGGGGTGAGGTGGTGGAGTTTGTCGATATCGTGAGTTCTGCCCAGTCTTCTCCGTCGACCAACAATTAGTAGATACTGTTCCACAACACTCACAAATTGTACTGAACCGACCCATCGGGCCTACGGATCTACTCCATAAGGACGAGTGATGTACTGACTTGACTTGCTTAATCCCCTCAGTGTGACTATGCAACAGGCTTGTCAAGAACAATCAAGGGGAACGTCCTTCCGAGCGAACGACCTGAACATGTCATTTACGAAAGTGAGTAGACAGACGAACTGAATTGGCGCATTGGTTCCCGGCTAAAAATAATCCGTCCCAGTCCCTAATCCCCTTGGTGTCGTCGGGATCCTCTCAGCATTCAATTTTCCTGTAAGTTATCAGCCCCTGATCAGCGTATTGTGCCACTAACCGGATCACTGCCTCTCGAACAGGTCGCTGTATACGTGGGTACATTGCACAACGGCGTCAATAGGCTGAACTGATTGTGTATCTCCATATCTCCACTGTCCTATATCGATCTGGGAGTTTCTAGGGCTGGTGAGCTTGCCATCGTTCAGTGTCAGACAAATCCTTTCCTTAGCTGATCATGACGCTATTCTCCTTTTTAAAAGGAACATGACTATAGCTCTAGCCACTGGAAATAGCACCATTTGGAAACCCGCTCCTTCAACCCCTCTGTAAGCATCCGAATATCTGCCGTGACTAATCTGAAGATACTGAAGAGCGACCTGCCTCGATATCACTCAGAGCTGCGATTGCCGTTACTCGTCTCATCCAGCCTGTTCTTGAGAGGAACGGTCTTCCTGGCGCAACTGCTGCCCTCGTTTGCGGTGGCACTGAAGTTGGAAAAACGGTGGTAGCAAGTAACGATATCCCCTTGAGTGAGTACCGAGACTCAAGACCTAGAAGCGGCTTTCACTTCTCTTGAAGCTAACAGACTGTGTGTTCCGCATCTCAGTCAGTTTCACGGGCAGTGAGAAGGTAGGCAAGGAAGTCGGCAAAGTCGTTCAGGACCGATTTGGAAAGGTGAGACTCTTGTATACCTCTGAATTGATTGAAACGAACATCGCTGATCGCCATCGATAGACCATTCTTGAGCTGGGAGGCAACAATGGTGAGCTCTGATCTCGTCTTCGACGATGTCCTCCTTGCGAAGAACAAAAAGGAAAACTACAACACCCGGGATTCCCATCTGGTCCCCCACGACGGTACTGACCGGGCGACAGCGAGCTTAAGCTTCGAAGAGCGAACGGGATTCGGCGTTTTCTCGCTTCTATGGTCGTAGATGGACAACGCTTTCAAAAATTGCATATCATGACTGAAAGCTGACCAAGAGCTCTTGCCTTTCCTAGCGGTCATCGTTCATGAAGATGCCGACCTTGGTCTTGCGTTGCAAGGCGTACTGTTCGCTGCTGTCGGCACCGCGTGAGTGTCCATGATCGATGGCCACATTGGCGTCGACCTGCTCGTCCAGATCATATATCTGGTGACCGTTTGTAGGCTGGCAGGCTAAAAACGTTCATTGTTGTGAATCTCACACAGAGGTCAGAGGTGTACATCGACTCGGAGGCTATTGCTGCACAAATCCATCTCGAAAGAGTTCCTCACTCGCCTCCTTGCGATCTATGACTCCTCTCACCCGACCTCACAATTGCTTGTCGGTGACCCGTTAAGCGCCTCTACCTTGATAGGTCCGCTTCACAATGAGGCAGCTGTTCAGAAGTACGAGAGCGTACTCGCATCTGTCGTTGAAAAGGGTGGCGAAGTCCTGACCTTACGCTCAGGGAGGATCGAGGGTGGGGAGTTCGGTGTCGAAGATAAGGGCAATTGGGTATGGCCCGTCGTTGTCAAACCATCTGAAACCGATATGGGTTGGATGGAAGAGACTTTCGCACCTATATTATATGTCATGGAATTCGAGACATTGGATGAAGCAATCGCGTGAGTACCCGGAGGTCCTGATACTGCCATTAATTAAGCCATATTCCTTGACTCTAGCTGACAGGCATGCATAACGCGATTCTATAGCCTCAATAACTCAGTACCTCAAGGCTTGTCGAGCTCGCTGTTCACCTCGAATCTGCAGAACATGGGCAAATGGCTCGGGCCCGAGGGGTCAGACTGTGGTATCGTGAGTCGACGCTATGTCAGAGTTCAGGATGAACTGTGAGCTGATATGACCTTGATACCTTATGGGCAGGTAAATGTGAGTAGCGCCGAAGCCGACAACCGGATCCTGCACACGGGAATCTAGTTTCATAGAGTGGCTACCTAAAGCGATACGGATTCGTGTGGTCAAGCGCAAGCTGATATAATATGGTGCGCTACGAGTAGGTCAATGTAGGTACCAGTGGAGCTGAAATCGGTGCCGGATTTGGCGGTAACAAATCTACCGTGAGTGTCTCCCATCAGTACGAGGGGATAAATGTCGTAATCACTAACGCGTGTCATGGTGTCCGTAGGGCTGGGGGAGGGAATCGGGAGGCACGGCTTGGCATCAGTATTGTCGATGGTCCGCGGCTACCGTAAACTACTCCACAAAGATGCCTCTGGCCCAAGGTGTTAATTTCGGTATTCAGGCGTAAGCGAGGGCTGAGGTGTAAGAGATCGTCATGCCCGTGATTGATGATTAACAGCATTCACTGTACGGTTGAATGACAAGCACGTATAGAGATCAGGAGGAAACACTCTGATAGATACCTGAAATATGCATGATCCCGTCGTTAATTCGATTCTCGCGCGTTCCATCTCCCTGCCAGCTAGAGATATGACCAGGCCCCAGAACTGTGAGGTCTTCCTATCCTTCTGCTTCATTGTTGGTTCCTCCCTGGCGACAAAAGATGGCGCCTCTTCTGATTCTGATGAGAGCCTGCTTATTTCTAATTGACAATCTCCCAACCCAGCTTCTTGCCGGTCCAGAACGGCAAAACCTCCACTCCTTCGCCCTTGAAGGTTCCTTGTACCAACCCATCATCTTCCCCGTTGCCTGTCCGTCTCAGCTTCAACTCCTGGTTCTCCCCAGCAGGCACGCCGTAGAATTTCCTACCATTCTCGCTGACGAAGCCGGCCAACTTGTCGAGTGCGCCAAAGGACTCGAGCAGTGTGGCTACGAGCGGAATGAGAATAGGCGAAGTATAGACACCGGCAGCACAGGCTGATACCGAGCCGTCATCAGTCAGATTAGGAATCTTAGAGGAGAGAGGATGGGGAGCCGAGTCCGATCCCAAGAAGAATTTGGGGTTGCCTGATTTGATGGCATCCTGTAATGCCTTTCTGTCTTTGGGCTCCTTCGCAACGGGTTTGCAGAAGTGGTGGGGCTGGGAAGGGACATCGTCGATTGTGAGGGACAAATGGTGTGCCGTGATAGTACAGGCCACGTTGTCGGGCAATGAAGATACGGCCTCAATGGCAGCAGCGGTTGTGGCGTGCTCGAGGACTATTCGGAGCTTGGGAAAATCGGTAGCGAGCTTCTTGAGGTGGGAAAGAAAGTGTACTTCGGCATTGAGGATGGAGATATTCTGCCGGGTTCATGGAGTGGATGAGCAGGTCAAAAACTGACACCGTCATACATGCAGTCCCTGCTGATATAGAACGGGATGAAGGGGTATGTGAGGTTCCGACGAATCGAGGTGACGACGTGCGTCACGCACGATAACGCTCCACTTGAGTCCGCGACAGGTCTCTCTCGTGACGATCGGCAGGAGAGGGCAATAACGAATCATCACTCACCTTCTCAGCGTCGCTAGGTACTTCACCGTGCAGATTAAGAACTAGGTTCTCCTCCTGCATCGCTTCGAACACTGGATAGTATGCCTCGTAATCCTTCACACCAGCGTCACTGTTGGTTGTAATTCCCATGGGGTAGACCTTCAGACCTCGGACGCCCGCTGCAGCAGCCTTTCTGATTTCGGCAGGCGTGACATCGGAATGGAGGTACAGCGTCATGAGCCACTGAACTGATGAGTCGATACGCTCGAGCTCAGCCTTGTACGAGA